TATATTCGTTAAAAAAAAAAACAACTCACTTTGCTAATGCCTTCATCTGTCCATTGAAAGGAACAACTGTTCTGATAGCAGTCAAAATTTCTTCCGCCACAGCTCCTGCTCTAGCACACGCAGTCAGCTCTTTTGTAGTGAAGGATGCCAGGAACTGGAAAATTCAGAGGGTGGTGGGAGGGGTATTTTATTGCAATCTATTTAAGTGGTGTAAATTATGTACAGATACAAAGGATGATCAAGCACTTAGGGAAAGAGCCTAGAATTTAGGAGACCTGGATTCAAGTCCCCACTCCAACAGTTTTCCTGGGCAACTTCGGATAAGTAATTTCTTTCCGTGTTGCACTTCTTCATGTGTAACATGGGAATCCCCTATCTTGCATGGTGTTGTGAGGCTAAATACAATGAAGATTGTGGGGCACTCAGAAACTATAGTAATGGAGGCCATGTAAATAACTTAGCTATCTTAATTATAGGTCACAATCCTGTTTCTTCCTCCACCATTTTCAGTGGTTGGGTGGAGGAAAGAAAACAAAATACAACCTATAAATGGAAACACTTGGTAAATTTTTCTTTGCATTACAAGCAATATCTACTAATGTGGTCACAGTTGATGAATGCTGATCATCCTCTTCCCATGTGGTGAGTGGTGGTGACTGGAAGCCGTCCAGGCCTCCATGGCATGCCAATGCCTGCCTGCTGATGCTCAGTGTAGACAGAGCTCTGCAAATTTTGGGGCAGGAGCCAGTGGAGTAGGAGAAGGGCTGCTCTCCATGCTCTCCAAACTTTGGGGTCATGTTGCTTTGGGGTTCACTCCCTCTCAATCTGATTTTAGAAGTAGAATTCTTATTTGTTTTCCCCCAGCACTTACGATTGATCCAACTGCTGCTCCTGCAGCAAGGAGAGGGATAACTGACAAAATCACCAAAGTCAGTTTCCACCCGTAGATGAATCCTATAACAATCCCTGTCAGAAACATGGCAAAGAATTGTACAAATATACAGAACTTGTCTCCGATGCCTTCCTGGATGGTGTTA